CCTCCCACAAATGGCCAGCCTAACCAGCAAGGTAACAGCACCCAGGGATTGGCAGCTGCTCTGAACGCTGCTGGGCCTCCCCTTTGTGACACCTCAGGGGCAGTGGGTCAATGGGGAATTAACCCCCTGACTCAAGCCACACGGAGTCTGTTGGCAGCGTATGGGGGAGGGGGTTAACCGTTGGCCCATGTGGCATGGAGTCTGGATGGGGGGCAAAAGCCCAAGGGGGGTGGTGCGAAACGGGGAGGGTGTTAACTCCCTGGCTTGTGCCACACAAAGCCAGCGAGGTGGGGGTGCAAAACCCAAGTGTGGGGTTTAATACCCTGTTGGTGCGGAGCTGGGAGAGGGTGGATGAGGGGCAGGGGATGCAGACAGAGCTGAGGGAGCCTGGAGAGCCCTGTGTGCTGTGGGAATTCGCAGGAGAAGGTTGAGGGCCAAGACACCTCCCTTCCCCTATCTGCAGCCAAAGACGCTCGGGGGACACAGGCACCTCTACAGGCTCCAAACTGTTTCAGGCTATGGTGCAACTCTACCCAGGGCCCGATCCTGCAGAGCCACCCTGGCTCACTGAGAGAGAAACAGAGGCCTCTCCTCCCTGTGTTCTCAAGTGGATCCCAGCTGTGACGCAAGTCGCCCAGTACTGAACGGACAGAAGCAGGCTGCGAAGAAACGCTCGGGGGACACAGGCACCTCTACAGGCTCCAAACTGTTTCAGGCTATGGTGCAACTCTACCCAGGGCCCGATCCTGCAGAGCCACCCTGGCTCACTGAGAGAGAAACAGAGGCCTCTCCTCCCTGTGTTCTCAAGTGGATCCCAGCTGTGACGCAAGTCGCCCAGTACTGAACGGACAGAAGCAGGCTGCGAAGAAAGCTGCCCTGCTTCCTGCCACTTGGCCCAGCCCAGCCATGCCACTGCCCGCTCCAAAGCAGCCTGAGGCGCCGTGGGACAGACAGCTCCCCCCCCAAGCCTGTTCCCTACAGCCCCGCTTCTCCACAATGCAAGAGAGAGAGAGTTCTCTCACATTCAGCATAATTTTCTTTTGGTGGTGTCTCATTGAAAAGTATATCAATCTACATTCAGTTACAAGCAATAGTTTACAATTTTAATGCATTCTTCTCTAAAAAGAAAAAAAAGAGAGGTAAATTATGCAAGTTCCATATCTGCTACAAAACAAATTCTCATTAAATTTTCTGAAAAGGCTATGTGAAAACTACATCAAGGATCTGGTTTGATCTTTCAAACAGAGGGTATGTCTACACATCAAATTTAATTCAAAATAACAGCTGTTATTTCAAATTAACTTTAATAGCGTCTACACAGGCAAACTGCTATTTCGAAATAAATTCAAAATAGCGGAGCGGTTATTTCAAATTTGGTAAACCTCATTCTATGAGGAATAATGCCAAATTCGAAATAGCTAATTTGAAATAAGTGCTGTGTAGATGCTTATTTCGAAATAGGGGGCCTCCAGCCCTTCCCGGTTTCCCCTGATGGCCACTCTGGGCCAAACCAGGAAAACTCCTCTCCTCTCCTCTCCTCTCCCCCAGCCCTGGAGCCCTTAAAAGGGTAGACTCTGGCTACAGTACCTGTGCCAGCTCCAGCCCTGCCAGCACAGAGCCAGCAGTTGCTGCCCCTGACCCAGTGGCCCCACCAGGACAGTCCCCCAGCTCCTAGGAGCCACCCAGGGGCCAGAGACGCCGTGCGCCCTCCTGGACTAGTGTGGAGATCGTGGACCTTATTGAGGTTTGCGGGGAGGCCTCCAATGTCCATGATCTCCTAGACATTCGGTCGCATAGCTGCCACCGTGACCACCAAAGGCCACATGTGCACCCAGGAGCAGGTGTGCCTGAAAATTAAAAAGAGTTGCACCAGGCGTATGCCAGGACCACACAGGGCAGCTCTCCAACAGGGGCAGACACTTGTCCCTCTTTTGACGCCCTGGACTGCATAATGAGGGCAGGACAGTCCGTGCCACCCCGAGGGGCACCGATCAAGGAACAGAGGGCCCTGACCAGGGCGCAGAGGAGGAGTCGCAGGAGCCACCATAGAGGGTGCCACGCCACCAGGACCCCCAAGCTGTCCCAGCAGTTGAGTCACCAGGATCAGCCGGGGAGGACAAAACATGTGAGTGCCATCACTATCCCCTTCCTGGCGGGGGGAGGGGGCGGGGAGGGAGACCAGGGACCGCGCGCATGGGCCTTGCTTACCACGGATCATGCAGAAACTTGTGCATGTGCGAGCATGGTCCGTGCCACCCCTGGGCAGGTGGCTTCAGCTGAGTGCCACACAGGGGCCGTGGCCTGATAGCCACATGCATGTGCGAAGAGACCTGACGTGCTCCTGACCCTGGGGCGGGACACAGCAGGATGCCTCCCTTCAAAACCCTCTCTACACAGAGGCAGGGGACATCTCCCTCACCTCACCCACACTATACACAGCACAGGGGCCTGGGTGCGGTCTTGAGGCACTTCCCACTCCAGAGGAGAGCCAGACATTCTGGTCATGGTCTCTGTG